GATATATTCCGCTTAACAGCACTTGGTAAGCTTAAATACTTGTGTTAGGAGGGCTTACCAACAGCATTCGGATGGTGAATTCGAATTCACGACCTTTAAGTACGCGGTCTGCACTCTAAACTCACATAAATAATTACGAAGAGGATATTTACACTAGTACTTAGCCTCCTTATTAGCCTTTTAACATTTTTTCAACATAATTTATTTCTGCTATAACTAAAACCAAGCAAGTAATGCTATAATTGTATGCCTACGGAGTTATTCGAAGTCTGCTATGTATTTTGAGTTGACAACTAATTTTTTACAAAACAAAATGAGTAAAGTTAAGAAATTTAAAACATTATAATGTTATTGATTTAAAAATATAAATACTATAATATCAGTCGTAAGCTGTCGTGGGAAAAAGATAAATTTTAAAACCAAAAATTCCATATTGTATCTTAGTCTTCAATCATGTACATCTTAAACATAGTTATTTTTCGTCACTTATGTCGCGGCCTTTACAACGCGAATGATCGCGTAATCGTGATGTATGTGGCCGTCCTTTCGAGAATACTTCCTCACATTGCTTCGCTGTCGGTAAACTCTTGCACATCAAAGGGTTTTATCTCAATGAATTTCGCTTGTGTGAGCACACTTTTGTCTGCCCACAGTCATCGTGCCTAGTGGACGTGTTGAAGTAAATTAGACCTTACGACGTATTTTCGACAATGACAACAGTTTTTGAAGTACTTAGAAAATTAAAAATTTGATGTGACATTTTAAATAAATAGTACAGATGTCCAAAGCTATCCCCTGTTGCCAAAAACGTAGTAAAGAATCATTAATTATTCGATGGCATATAATACAGAGCGATTGCGGCGTCCATTTTGTACTTAGCTTGTGTTTATCGCCATAAACTATCCATGAACTGTACAGCGCGTAGTGTAGCCAGGCACCTACGCCGTGGGCCGTTTGTAGCCTAGGTATTACAAATAAAACTAATTAATGTCAAGGTTGTGAATGTACACTTTATTTGTATTAAAATTAATGTAAAAAATAAATAGTAAAAAAAGAAGAAATGTTTATAGTATAAATATTATGACAGCTCTGTAGCGCAGTGGTTTCGCATAGAGTTACAGCGCTGAGGATCGCGGGTACGAATTCCACACGGAATAAGTATTTGTATGATCGACAAATATAATGTCCTCCAGACCGAATACCAGCCACGGCGGCCGGTTTCAACGGAAACTAGCCATCAGCGCAGAACAGGATTATAGTGCCCAAGTGTATGCGCAAGCACAGGTGCACTCTCTATTCCCTCACTCACATAATCACGACACGACCGGAGAGAGATCAGGCGCAGGACCAACGGCTTTACGTGCTTTCCGAGGCACGGGGGTGAGACACCATCAACTTCCTGAGTCCGGACAACTGCTGAGAATTTCTTGACGGAAAAACTCAATAATAATTTTTTTGGTCCGACCCGGGATACGAACCTAGCACCTCATGATTAGCAGTCGCACCACTACAACCACTAGACCAACGAGGCAGTTCTAGTAGTAGTAGTAAATGTTCCTCTAAACTGCTTAAAATAAAATCTAAAAAAATCTATTGTAGGGTTAACATTTGTATAATAATTTAGATAAATAAATCTCTATATATAAAAATCAATCACTGTCTTTTTGTCTCGCTAAAACTTGAAAATGGCTCGAATGATTTTGATTAAATTTTTTACGTACGATTGAGAGGGTCCCTGGATCGCTAAGATTCACAATTGTACTGTATTGGTGGCGCTGTTGTCGACATACAGAAATTGTTCGCGTGAATCCGTAATATAAAAAGCTTTTACGAATGTTTCTTAAGTAGCCAAGTCTTAAGAAAATGCTTAATAATTAAAAATAATCGTTAAGACCAATGTTAGTTTCTCTACGTCTTGTTCTTTTCTAAAAGCCTAAGGGAAAATATAATCTCAAATGGCTTAGCAAGATCCTTCGTTATGCCAAAAATATTGCAGCATTAATTTTGAAATAAATATATGGTAAAGTTGAGGATTAATGTTAAGGATTATGTTAGACAAAAAATACGATTTCGTAAAATTTTCTCGATAGAAAAAAATCCAAAGTTACTTCCAAAATAAACAATAAACCGCTGTTATTCATAAAATACTTTAAAGAAGATCATGAAACTTTGCATACTAACTGAACTAACTATAAAGCAGTGCTTATGTTTTATACTTTTTTAAAATACCATTATTTTCACTGTAAAAAGAAATTACCTAAACTATCGGCGTCTTGAAGCGTGATTCCTGCCGTCCGGTCACTTCGCTTTGGCCTTTGAAGGGGGAGATTGTGTCGCTTACGATCAGAATATACATAACGCAACAGGACGATGTAAAATTAAAATGGGAAATAACCGTAATAAAAATAAGAAGCGACTGGCTTGGCGTTAAGAAACAGGCATAAATATGATAAACCTAATGAAATAAGTGTCTAACTACCTTTCTACTTACAGTATTAGTGATTACAGACATGTCGGTACATAGCATACGACGCGCGGGCAAGTGGGGACGAAATTAGAATTTGAGCTGACTTACTATATCCCCTATCGCTGGAGGTCCTTAGCACTATGCTCAATGACCTCAATGGTGTCTCCCAACGGTTAGGTCTTAAGATGAACATGGACAAAACAAAGACGTTACATTATAATATTAAAATTATTTTGCCTCTCTTAATGATGATCTGTTCAAACTTGTTCACTCTACTACTACTGAAAACAAAAACATATATTTTTGTACAATAAAAATTATAATACGTTTATTTGTTCATCATAAGTAGTAGATACTTTATAGATGGTAACAAATGCTTATTGTGTCCTAAATGATATATCTACCCTTAATGGTAATAGGGGCCTATACTATCTCAAATGCCTTAGTAAGTTCATCCGTTATGCCGAAAATATTGCAGCATTAATTTTGAAATAAATATATGTTAAAGTTGATGATTAATGTTAAGTACTATGTTAGACGAAAACACGATTCCTTAAAAATTTCTCGATAGAAAAAAAAATGAAAGATACCTCCAAACTGAACAAGAAACAGACAGAGAACAATAATACTTTAAACTGAACTAACTATAAAACAGGGCTTATGTTTTTTTTTAAATCAGCAATATTTTCACTTTAAAAAGAAATCACCCTAACTATCGCGTAAAGAAACTGGGATAAATATGATAAACCTAATGAAATAAGTATCTAACGACCTATCTACTTACTGTATTAGGGATTACAAACATGTCAGTATATAACATACGACGCGCGGGGAATTGAGGATGAAATTAGAATTTGAGCTGAGGTAGTACAGGCCTTTAATTGGCATACAAATATTTAAATGAAAATAAGTTGTCCGATTAATTGCAATGTCAAACTATTACCAATTATGAGGTCAATCATCAAATAAAAATTGTAGATATATTTTATTTTAAATCTAGGAAAAAACTAATTTGTAAATAAACACAAAAGCTTCAAACTTTTCATTAATAAATTCTTGCATTGAGTAGTAAACTTTTTTAACCAATAGAGGTTTAAGATGTTTTGATGTGAAACATCTATAGCGGCGGGTCAAACCGACTGTTGACGTGGCGACGTCCGGATTAAGCCGAACGCAGTCAGGCTTTTTGAATGCGTGTCCGGCCAAATTACACGGTGTCCGGCTTTTGTTAGGCTTTTTATATTTGACCATTTTTTTATATTTTTCATATACTTACTTACATACATACTATTGCAATTGTTGAAATTAATATTGTAATGAATATTTAATAAATAATAATAAAGAAGACTGATTTATTCAATTGTTATTTCTTTAGAATTTTAGAAGATTTTACGATAAATGAAAAAAAGCATTGCTTTGCTTTAAAAAAATCTTTTACTAAGCCAAAAAATAAGGGTATCTGGCCTTTTTACCAAAATGTCCGGCTAAGCTCGTTGGTGTGTCCGGATTTTCAGTTTTAAGACCTGGCAACCCTAGTTACAGGCGACATCGAACAATACAATAAGATAATAAGTCACTGATTAAAAGAAATAAGTTGTCCTAATTAAAAAAAATTGAAGCTATAATTTATGTATTTATTGAATATACTTGTTTGGATAAAAAATTCATTAAGCCATATTTATTTCCTGTTGTAAATCCTTTTATGCATATTACTTGTACAAAATGTTCGATGTTTCAAATCTGCCAGGCGTCTCGCCACGGCTCACAATTTTTTTTAAGTATTTTATGTTATCTTGTTTAACATTATTAGGCAAATTATTGTAGATAACACAACAAAATTTACTTGGGTTGTATGTGGTTAGACTGCTTTTCTGCCCAAAAGTCCATCTGAGTAGGTACCACTCTCTTTTCTTTTTCTGTCGCCAAAATAACAGTGTCCGCACTGCTGTGATCTGATCTGAAGGGATGAAGAGCCATTACAGTTACAGGCTGGCTGTGAGGCATTCCATCTTAGTCCTTAGACACAACGGACCATCTGGCTGAATCCTTTTTTGTTAGAAGTTAGTTGCAGGAATTCATGAGCTGCAGTAACTACTTACCATCAGTTTAGTTCGTTTGCCACTCTAGTTTTATTTAAAAAATACTTGTTCCATTTCGCCTGTCTGAAAATATTTTAGTAGTAAAATAAATTTCACAGCACATGTTTTTACAGGCGCTTTTTATTGGTAATTCTGTTACTTAAACAAGTAAAAAAATCACTTGAAAATTAAGTAAAAGTAACTGAATTTCTATTAAGTTTTATATTTCTGTACTTACAACTTCACGTATAATTTGTATAAAATGCATAAATGTCGGTCAGTCAACCTATAGCTATCAATCAAACTGATTGCTATAGTTATATTACAGAATTTAATAAATATTTTACTGTAAAAACCTTTAGAGTATTCTATGATTATCCATAGTAAAAACATAGAGCTAGGATCACGAATATTTAAACTAACTTATTGAATATAAAATATTTGTCCATTTTTAATTAAATTTTGTCACCATATTTAAGTTTACTTTTTTCTGTTGTGCCACTTAATGAAGGGGCTGAATTAGAATGAAAACGGGACTTATGTGTTTTGTCTGAAGTTTGTATTTCTTTTAAAACTCGATACTTTTCTCGAGAAGTTGTATTTACTGCATTATTGACGTCGCTTTCTTTATATCTTATATTATGTTCGTTTTCATTATGAAATTCGGATGGCTTTATTGTTGGATTGCTACTATATTCAGTTTGAAGTTGTTGTGTTGAAATCGGTGTTACAACGATTGAAGGAAAGGACGTAGTAGAAGTAATTGGTGCTTCTGCATACTGATAGTTGTCATTCGACGCTTCGGGAATAGATTGCTGGTCAAAGGCCATTCCAGTATAATAGTGGTAAGATGAGGATGGATCCTTGGCAGCGTATGATTTTGAAGAAACGCTATTAGCAAACTGTGCTTGATCATAGCTATCAACATTTTCCAAAGCAGAAGGTGCCCCATCATTTTCACCAAAAGCTTCGTTTGATAAATTATCATCAAAAGTATTCTGGGTTTGGCTTCCAAATCTAATATTTTGCGTAGAGATTGATTTCTTTCTACTTTTTCTGTCAGTATTGCTATAAGCAGAATTATTGCTTTTGTCTTCAGAATACTGTAAGTTTGATGACGAGGCATAGTTATCATATTCAAAGTTGTTTAAATAACTATCTTTGAATGTAGTAAAAGGATCATCGTAAATCGAAAAACCATTTGCACCCGACATTGCTCCTGAATAACTTTGTGTGAGTGGCTTATAATCGTGAATAATTTTCGATGAAACAGAAAATGGAGCTGGAACGTTAGACGGTAGCTTCAATTGGTAATCGGGTGCTGGTTTCCCGAAATATGTAGAAACTTTACCGCGACTTTTACTTTTTACATTATCTTTATATCTATAAGTAGATATAGGCTTATATTCATTTATATTTTCACTTTGTGAAGATACGTACACTGGTGTCGTTACTTTTTTGGGTTTGACTCGATTCGACGAATAAATATTTTCATAATAAGAATAGTCCGTAAGTGGTGCATTTGTGGTACTTTGAATGTATTTGTTTTTTATTCTCTTTGGCAGACCACTGTCAATTTGGTTTCCTTGTCTATTATACGACACTCTTGGAGGAATGCTTAAAACGTCTTTGCTTACGTCAATTTCTTCGGGTAGCTCACCATGATCGTGAAATATATGGTCATGAGTAACTTCGTGTGGATTGTATGCTGCGTATTCATATTGAGACGGAGTATCCATAGAACCTGCGACTGCTAAAGTTTGATATGGATCCGAGGCCATAGCCAGCAATTGGACGTTCTTATAAGAAGTAAATGGATGAGTATTAAACGCTGACATAGCACCGATTGGTTGTATCTCAACCATACTAGCATATTTAGGTTCATCGTCGTACACAACTTTGTGAATATGTTCCTCACTGTAAGTGTGAATGTGTTCTGTATTACCGTCAACAATTTTTTCAACTCGTGGCGGTTTCTTAATCTTCCTTATTGTACCTGCATCTTGAACATCAGAGTAGAATTGCTCGTGAAACGTTGATACCGGATGTTCCTCTTCTTGGTTCGTTGGAGCAACATGTTTATTGCGAGCTAGAGCTCGTTTAGGTTTAACTTTGCGAATTACCTTTTTCCTGGGTTGTTCGTTCACTATTTTAGCTCTTTTAGGTGAATGATGATTAATGGGTTCTTGAGAAGGTGCTAATATAGAAGAAGGAATAACATAACTATCTGTAGGTTCTGAATTAATAGCTAAGTTAAAGTCTTGGTCGTTCAGCTCTGTGGGCGTAGGCCCGTAGTGACCACGAGCTCGATAAAGCGGCAAAATTTTGGAAGCGGGTGCAGTAAGAGCTGGCACTCGCACATGTTCTTCGTATAAATTAACCGTGTTTAAAGGCATAATGTTGGTCACAGCTGGCAGCGCGATGTTGGTCGGCATAGCTACTGCAGTCTCCGCGCTAGACATGAAAGCCGGAGCATATTGTGAGATTGCAGGGTGATTTGTAATATATATCTTCTTATGATGATGTATGTGCTTTACCGTTTGTGGTAGATGTATACGAATTTTTTTCCTGTAACAAAGGAACTTTACTATTTTAATATTCAATAGCAATTCAATGTATTTTTTAGCGTAGCTGATAATTGTTGTTAATTCGCGGGACTGCTTTACGTAAGCAACGTAATTTCAGTGATGTGAGGATATGTTTTGTTATAGATGGTTGATCGCACGCGAGCAAAGTTGTTTGTCTGGTAAATGTGTATGTTTTATGCGATTCCGTATTAAGTCATTGGCACAAAGCGTGTCGCGGTAGTGACTTTCTCTCGTGACGTGTCATCAATCGCTCCCGCTACTCTATACATCACCTGATTTATAACATACAACAAAAATCTAAAGGTAGGCGTTGTTTTTTTTTCAGTACGTTATAAATGAGATATCAACTTACGCTTTCTACGAAGCGCGGTCATTATGCACCTGGCTGACTGACTACGTGCATATTGCACTACTGCTTAACGAATTAAATGTAAGAAGAATAGTGAGCACTGTTGTACTAACAAAGCTACGATTATTTATAATACACTCGCGCGTATATTAACCTATATTGAAGAAAGTTTTAATCGCTTTAGATGAAATCATTCGCATTTCTTTTAATAAAAGTAATATATGAAAGTTAAAATTCGCAAGCAATAACAATTACATTATCATTTGTAATAAAGTTTATTTAATTGATTATAAAACTCAAGTGATATATATTATTTAATAAAAAATTAAATACTCACTTAGACCCATCTGCCTCTACTTGAGTTGAAGCAACAGCAACAAGAAGAATTAACTGTAACAAATAACGCTTGCGTCAATACTTAAATTTATATTGAACATCAAAACATTGAATAAAATAATATAAAAAAAACCACCTTTTGAGCTTCATCCCGATAATTATTTTATTTTATCCTAGTGACTCTGATCAGGATATTAGGACAAAGTTACTAAATTATTGTATTGCCATCCTTCATATCAATCGGTCGTCTATAAGTTGGTGAAAATTACATTGGTATATATATACTAATATATATATACTATTCCGATGATATCCCGGACGTCAGTATGAGCGAGATTAGAATGCCTCTCTCCAGCACCTTAAAAACAGCAGGGCCCCAGGCGAGGATGAAATTACAGCGGAGCTTTTGAAAGCGGGTGGAACACCGGTACTTGAAGTCCTTCAGAAGCTCTTCAATTCCGTCCTCCATGATGGAACTACTCCGGAGGTGTGGAGCAGAAGTGCAGTGGTCTTGTTCTTTAAGACCGATTTCCCTTCTGAGCCGCGTCTACGTGCTGTTTTCGAGAGTCATTACGAATCGTCTCGCACGCAGACTCGACGACTTCCAGCCTCCCGAACAAGCCGGTTTCCGAAAAGGCTTCAGTACCATCGACCACATACATACCCTGCGGCAGATTGTACAGAAGACCGAAGAGTACAATCTGCCACTTTGCCTGACGTATGTGAACTATGAGAAAGCCTTTTATTCCGTCGAAATTTGGGCGGTGATACAGTCCCTTCAGTGGTGCTAAGTTGACTGTCGGTATATCGAAGTGCTGAAGTGCTTGTACGGTAGGGCTACGATGGCTATCCGAGTACAGAACCAGAGTATGAAACCTATCCAACTGCAGAGAGGTGTAAGACAGGGTGACGTTATATCCCCGAAACTCTTCACCGCTGCGTTGGAAGACGTTTTCAAGCTACTGAACTGGAAAGGATACTGTATTAACATCAATGGCGAGTACATCACTCACCTTCGATTTGCCGACGATATAGTCCTTATGGCAGAATCGCTGGAGGACTTAAGCACTATGCTCAATGACTTCAATAGTGGCTCCCAACGGATAGGTCTTAAGATGAACATGGAAAAAACAAAAATCATGTTTAATGTACATGTCACACCTATGCCGGTAGTTGTTGGGATAACTATGCTCGAAGTTGTTGACGAGTACGTTTACCTGGGACAAATAGTCCGACTAGGTAAGTCCAACTTCGACCGAGAGGTCAATCGTCGGATTCAACTCGGCTGGGCAGCGTTCGGGAAATTACTACACATCTTCTCGTCAGGTATACCTCAATCTCTGAAAACTAAAGTGTACAACCAGTGCGTGTTGCCAGTGATGACTTACAGATCTGAGAAGTGGTCCTTCACTGTTGGCCGTATGAGGACGCCCAAGGTCGCTCAGCGAGCTATGGAGAGGGTTATGCTCGGAGTTTCTCTGCGTGATAGACTCAGAAATAAGGATATCCGCAGTAAAACCAGAGTGACCGTAGCTCAGCGGATTAGTAAGCTGAAGTGGCAATGGGCCGGCCATATAGCTCGAAGAACCTATAACCAATAGGGAAGAAAGGTTCTCGAGTGGCAGCCTCGTACTGGTAGGCGTAGTGTAGGGCGACCCCTCACTAGATGAAGTGACGACCTTGTACTACATGCAGGAAGTCGATGGATGCAGGTGGCTCAGGAGCGTGCTTTGTGGCATACATTGGGGGAGGCCTATGTTCAGCAGTGGACTTGTGAAGGGCTGTAATGATGATGAAAATATATATATATATATATATATATATATATATATATATATATATAAAAAGTGTGAGGTTAATATGGTCAGTGTAGTTACTTTATTTTAAAGTAGATTTTTGAAGTGTTCCTAATTATGACCAAAGCTTGTTTGCTATTTTTTTCTTAATATATTAGTTATAGTATACGAATTTGTGTTTTTGTCTCTCTCCTTCTCCTAGTTTTGGCTTTATAGGGCGACAAAGCTTAAGGCGACCATATTACCCTCACGTACCTTATGCAATAATCTCGTATATGTACGTACACAATTAAATTATTTTTTGAAATGAAATTAATTCAACGGTTTTATTTAATTTTAACTTCACTTCAACAACTAAGACCTCTACAGTCTCTCAGTCTCCCTGTGACAATGGATAGTTAATATTTGATGTAATCGACATTTATTATCAATTAATTATTTTTACTTGTTATTAACATTTATCGATTATCATTTTTCCTGGAGGAGAGGAAGTCTAATGACGAACCTCATATATCGTATTAGATAGGAGTAGTATTTTTTCATAGAATGGGGTTGACAGGAGTATACAGTCCACCTGATGGTAAGTGAATGCTGTAGCCAATATCAGTGGCCATAGCCTATAGCCACATTAATGCTTGATTAAGAATCAAAACCCACCCTTTTTGTATGTGTTGGCACCCCGGAAGAGGAAGATGGAATGCCTCCTTTCTAGTGAAAAGGATCTACGTTTTCGGATCTACCACATAAAGCATCCATTATATCCAGTATCCATTCGAAAATGGTGAACTTAAAAATCTGGTCAAAATTTTAAAAAGTACATGCTTTTGATTTTGTAGAAGGCATGTTACGGCAATGTAAGATAATTCATCATTCCATTTCGTCATGTGTTAAGAAATGACCTGGGAAAGATCTCATGGTTTCCAAAACATGGCGGAAAGATTCAAGTCGTGTGGCACGATCATCAAACCACTTATCGATTGTGGCAGTTGGTAATCCCTCTCAACGACAACAAAAGTGGATGTACACCTCGCTGAACCTCATCCTATTCAAATAAGTAATTCGGTTGCAGGAAGGTGTGGAGGTGAACTGCGGTGTCAGAGTCGTAAGGAAAGTTACAATCTTAGGGTTTACGTTACAAGCCAACGCGACATGAATAAGATAAATACGAATTGGCGTAAACTGAAATCGAAAGCTAAAACGTATAACACTGACTGTAAATAACACTGACGCGTGGTCCAATCAGTTAATTAAAGCAATACTAAGTATACCAACAGTGTTTGCTCAAGATCCTTGTCCTGCATGATGCTGGATCTCTCGGATAATGTATAATATATTGGTTTAATCGAATTCCAAAACAGTCATAATTGACATTTTTTTAGCATTATTACTTTATGTTTGATCGTTTGTTTACAAACACTTGCGTATCGTTTTATGTTTATGTTTTTATGCGTAATGTTTCAAAATATTACATAGTGATGTTTACAACTCATTACTTAATAGCTTGAAATATTTTGTAATACGTCTGACTTGTGATGTTTATAAGTATGTAACTCAAATATTATTGTTACAAATAACCAATTTAGAAGCATACGAAAATACGGGTGCGATTAGGACTCGCGACCTGAGAGTTTTTTTTTATAGAAGAGGGGGCAGACGAGCATGACGCTCACCTGATGGTAAGTGACTACCGCCGCCCATGATCAACCGCAACACCAGGGAAAATGCAAATGCCAGTATTTTAGAAAGGACTAAGCTCTTTTCTTGAAGGCCCCTAAGTCATATCGGTTCGGAAAAGTTGCCGGTGGTAATTAATTCCACAGAGAAGTTGAAAACTCCCACTAAAACGTACAGTAGTGGACCGCCAAGCATCCATATGGTGAGGATGATATCGAGAATTTTGACGCGATGTGCGTTCGTGAAATTTGGCGGCTGGAACTAATCCGAACAATTCCTCAGAACACTCCCCATGGTAGATACGATAAAAAAAAAGCAAAGGGGTGCAACATCCCTACTCAGCGCCAATGAATCGAGCCGATCAGAAAGAACTCGGTCGTCGACGATTCGAATCACTCTGCGCTGGATGCGATCAAGTGAAAGGAGCTGGCACTGGGGTGCCCCGGCCCAGAGATGAGAACAGTATTCCGTGATAGGCCGAACCTGCGCTTTGTAAAGCTGCAAGCGATGTGCATGAAATACTGTCTCGCTCTGCTGAGCACGCCAAGCTTTTTAGAGACCAATTCGACTTTCACCTACAAGTGACCACGAAACTGCACACTATTCGATATGTTGACGCCAAGGATTCTGATGCTAGCTAAAGCAGCAAGGGG